ACCTGTCCGCTATACCGTTACTATCTTGATAAATATGACGGAGGCGTCCCCCTAGCCTAGTTGTCTACCTCGAGCCTAAACACCATCACTGCGCGCCCTGCTTTGCCCACCCTACTCCTGCTACTGCCCGTCTTCCTTGCTTGCTGGCTATATTGGCAACCAGAGTAGAAGAGGCGCAGCAAGAATAAGGCCCTTCACTCTCCCGCCAGGAATAGAGGCCATGTCGATTACACTTGAATGTGCTATCCCTCCTCCACACCTATTCCAGTCAAGGCCATCCTCGTGGCAAAGTCCCTACCACAGTCATACTTACCCCGCCTCGACCTCCTCGCCTACTCCCATGTCTCCTCAGTCGCTCCAACATTCAATGTCACATCTGCCGGAAAGTCCTCTACCCTCTCACGAGGCCATCCACGTCCCGGCCTCTGCATGGTACGGCCCCTCGATTTCGGCCCCCGAGTGCTCTAGTGAGGTTTGTACTTGATTCTTACCTTTCAACCGGCTACTCACATGCACCCACTTAGACTAGCTATGCCTCATACAACAACTACATTACTCCCCATTCATCCTCTATCAATCTGTCGCCACCAGCAACAGCGTTTCCTTATATGCCAAAACATCCGGGATCCGCAACACAGTTGGATCCATCTGTTACCCTGTCTCCAGGCACAGTTTACTCTCGAGACTCGGTTGTACCCGAGCCTGCCAGCCCATCAGAAGAGCCTCAGTCGGACCCAAGGTGTTCGTTACATCAGTCGACCTTGCGTCTTGGGCCACAGTCTCACCTACTGGACCGAAATCATAGTAGTTTGAGTAACTTGAACACCGCAAGAGCGAACGTATCCTGGGCCATGAACCCCTTGGGCATCCACTCCAGTCATGAATCGTACTATCCGGCGTTCCCATCATTAAATCAAAGTCCTCGTCTGAGTGAACCATCAGCAGAGCTATCAAACCAGATGATCTCACCGCAGCCACGGCGCATATACACCCCTATTGCCCCTCTACCACAAGAAACGCCTCGATCACATAGCACCAAGAGGTACCATGAAGATGAAGATGAAGCACTCGATAGCTCCAAGCGTAGGAAGCGATCAGATTCACAAACATCAACACAGTTTGAGCTGAGTGAGGAGGACAAGCTCCTGCTCAAGCTCAAGGAACAAGACTCTATGCCGTGGAAGGATATCGCAGCACGATTCCAGACAGAACTGCAAAAGTCTTATCAGATACCTGCGCTACAGATGCGCTACAAGCGCCTGAGAGAACGAATGCGCGTCTGGACCGACACCGACCGTAAAGCACTGCGTATGGCGCACGAGTACTGGTTACAAAACAAGTTTGAGATCATTGCGCAAAAGGTATGTGTCGCTTGTGACAAATTAGTGTGCACAGCTGACCAATCTCATAGATGTTGGAGTTTGGTGCACAGGAGAAATGGACAGCACGGCAATGCTCACGTCAATGGCAAGTGATGGATCACCCACCATTGTCGTATGCGCAATTCGATCATCATATCCAGCAGGGCTTTGCCCCTTACGCCATGAGTCCTATTGAGCCGCCGCCCAACAACTCCCTACCCTTCTTGCACACCTGACGAGCTTTCCAGATCGGGTAGGACAGGCAAACTGATCACAGTCGTGCCCCTTTACTTCTTCCTCTTACTCTTCTCTTTCTTCTTTATCTCCATCTTATCCATCTTCCTCTCACGAATCACTCATTGGAATGATAGCAAGCGCTTCGCCTGATACGATGTGGCACGGGCATGGCGTTTTCCAGAAAAAAACGGGCGGCTTGCATAGGAGATTGGGGCGTGGCCGGCAACGGCAAACGAGCACTGCGCACCGCCCTTTTCCAAGGCCTACAGGTCCATACTTTCTTCTTCACTAGATACCCTTGCTTAAGGTCAGCAATGACCGATGTTGTAACGATCTGTTCTTTTCTATCGATTGCCATACCAGGTGATCCCTTTTTCCACCATGCCTTATGCACCCATTTAGAACTCAAGCGGCGCGAGCCAACGTACGTACATTAGGTCGCACATTTCAATAAACGCACCTATAAATTTCTCTAGACGAGCAAAAGCATTCCATTTCAAATAAGCTTACCCAGTGCCATGCAACTTACTCCGCACCGTCCCTGCCCAACATGCACGAAACACCTACGCCGCAATCTGCAGAAAAAAAAGCTGGCCTTTGGCCGCGCCGCAATCACCCAAAAAATGCATCAATGACTAGCAGACGGCGCAACACCACCCTCCATGACTGGCCCCTCTTTTTGTCCAAGCATGCAGGACCCTCCTTTCTACAACCGTCAGAAAAAAAAACGGCACGGAATAATTCCACACCCCATGCCGTAGTAAATACATCTCTCCGTCACCCGCGCGGTTGCCCAACAACATATCCTATGCGTATGTGCGCAAGTGGCACACACACACACATACCCCTCTCCCATCTCTCCCATCTCTCTCCCCGAATGACTCTACTTTACCACTAAGTACCGTCTTTTTCCCCCCCTTCGCTTCCCCATTCCCCTACTTACCGCGCCGTACGCATTCGGCCCGTTTCCCAACCGTCGATAGTGGCAATTGGCCACAGTACATACGTACGTGCCACACATACACACACACACCTTTACGCATGCCGAGCCCATTCGTACGTAGCGTTTTTTTCCTTGCGGCTGCGGCGAAACAGCGCGACATGTGATTGCAAGCACATGCGCGCGGGGCGCGCGCGGGTGCGAGACGAGATGGCGATTTGGGAACTGTGCCGCGAGGGCAGTACGTACGTATCCTCACAATTACTAGGTAGCGTGATTGAGGGCAAGAGACTTAGGGAGGGGGGAGGTGGGGGGTTCCACACACACTCTCTCTCAGCGATAGTTTATGGGTTGCACGTGTTGTAGAAGAGCATCAGGGGATTGAGCCTTTTTTGGGATAGTGCTGGGTGTGGGAGGGTGGTGTGGCTCGGGTAGAGTTGCGTGTGCGCGGGAAGGCTTGAGAGGCGAGGTTTGCGCGTGGTTATGGCGCTGTGGAAGAGTGTTTTTTGGGAAATGGATGTAGGGATAGAGCGCGCGCTTGCGAGTGTTTTTTGATAAGGGGACATGTGATTGGTACTGGTATCCTGTCATGTGTTTTTTTGGTATACTAGGTGTGTGTGTCTGTGGCTGGACCAATGCTAGACGGCGCCTTGGTCTACGCTGCTACTACAGGTTTGCAAGAAGCTCCACTTCTTTATGGTTGCACGAGCAGTTTGTGTACAGGGTTTGCTTCATCGCGATTTGGGGCGTGAGTGACGCACAGGGCGGGAAGAATGCAAGGGCAAGTGATCTCGGATGATGTACAGCGTACGTACCTGGCCAAAGTAAGTGAATGTGCATCCCTGCACCCAAGATCTGAATGCGGAAATCTCACACTCCTATTGAGTCGTTTTACTCTCACCGGATGTGAAGAGACTTAGTGTGGTGATTGCGATTGGAAGAAGTGTGCTTGTTAGGCTATGTGCTGACCAGCTGGATGAAATTTCTCTTGTGTTAATGACCATACTAATGACCATATTTGTCTTGTCGTAATGGCTGTGCTAGATTTCTGACAGTGGGATCCGGAGGTTGCAATGTCTCTAGTGGAGAGGGCACAAGTCTAGAGCATGTATGAGCCGAGAGTATCCGTCAATATCGTCTTGTTATCTCGCATGCCGAAGTCACGAATTATTTCTGAACATTTCATTAGCCAGGGTATCATAGCAAAGGTAGTGAACGCACACTCTTGACATGTCCCTACACCATAATCATACTTAGAAGTGTCTTCAATTTTTGATGGATACATGATGTCGTCGTATTCTTCTTCCAGCGCACACGTGTAAGCACACTTCTCGCATCTTGGAGCTTTTCAGAGGAAGTCATCAAGACAAAATTGCCCAGATATGCGGGTAGTTGCATCAAATACGACCTGACGTATATCACTGCCCCTTTACTGTCGCCCACCAAGGCTGAGAAGGCATAAGTAGGCACACGACTATAAGTGAACCAGATCCAAGTAAGACAATGCGTCTTCTCGCTGTGACTGGCTGCCCGGGTAGAAAATGTGATGGGAACGAATTTGCCATTTGCCATTTGCTCAGCGATTACTCGCAGCTTACTCGGGGAAGAGGGAAGTTTCACTCCACAAACTAGTAAGCTTACTTACATCCGCTCGCTAATGTCGTCGCGGACCGTGTCCAAGGCCGGTTCGCTGTGCGCATAAGCGGCTTACAGAGTTGTGTTATAGGTTTCCAGCGGCCCGGCCGACCCTACGGCAAACCATGGGAGGCCTAATAGCGGCTGGGCTCTAGATACTACGTCTGATGGGAAAGAAGTACGAGCAAGGAACCCTGGTGTCCGGGACCTTCTGGAAAACTTGATACTGCTTATTTGCTTACTCGAAGCTCTAGGAAGTGTGACGAGACATGCTGTCAGCATTAAAGTAGGCGTAGTAAACCCCCACGCCCGTGAGTCAGTGTGCATTTCGCAGTTGCCCGGAAGCCATTGCGGTCTCAGATGGGTGGCTATCGGCAGTCGACAGCGGTCTTTGCTTTTCGTGTTCGAAGAGTCAGCACCCAATCGTGACTCGGCTGAGGAGCGTGGGAGGCCCAATGGCGTGCTCGGCGAACGTTACATTGGTCAATCCCCGAGAAGTCATCCACGTTGCTGAACGGGCGATAAGCCGAGAGTCAGTTTGGAGACTTGGATGTAGTGAAACCTTCCTGATGGAGCCGTAGTCGAGATATGTGTCGAGCCACAGAGCGAGCCAGGAGCGTGTGAACTCGAGGGGTAGCTGGGAGGTTGGTAACGGAGGGGCAAAGCGCTGTACTTGTGAAAGAGCACTCTTCACTCTGGTCCAGCGCCTCGACCGGGTCCATGTTTCATGATCTGCGCCCTACATTAGCGAAGTGGTGTTTCCCTTCCTACGGGTTTGCACAATGGATTTGGCCGACAATCATGGGCGTTGTTGAACTGCAGGCCATTTAGCCGCACCATACAGGGTTCGTCGGCGGCAAGGAAGGCCGTCTGCTCGGGCTCGTGAGGTCATGCTGCACGTGCGCATCAGCATGCCTCCCCCACCCTCCCCTCTCTCTCCAGCTGACGAACGATTGCTCGAGCTTGCAACTCTCTGGGTGGCACGCTGACGGGGCGGACAAAGCTCGAAGCCATGGCTGAAATCGATCTTCAAAACCACGATGCGATCGGAAGCCGTCGAGGATCGGTTGCACGACGTGTCTATCGGCTAATGTTGAAAAGGTGTTGAACGAGTCGAAGGCTCTGCCAAGCTCAGAAACGTAAGACTTGTTGTTCTGGGAATGTTACCGAGGTGCGGGGCCAGACGCCGATCTACCGGTGAATACGGAGACGGATGGAGGCTGTAAGTGAATATCCCCTTTGAGCAAGCGCATGGCCATGGTACAATGGCAAAGTGCAGACGCAGAGGAAAAAGTCCGGGAGCTTTGCAGACTTGTAAGCTCGTATAGGCACGCACGGTGGCTTCTGGCAGCGTCCACGATTAGGCACGGGATTGTGTATTTTGTTTTCGCCCCACTGACCTTCTTGTTCGGTATCTTCCCCAGATCTTCTTCGGGCCTTCTAGCGCTTATGGCGTCCGTCAAGTCGGGTGCCGTGCAGCTGAGGCCCGCGAAGCCGCCCAGGGTGCGCATGAGACTTGTAGACGCGACGCTTGTGTGCAAGTCTAGAGCACTGGATACATGAGCGTTTACAGCAAGCGCACTGAGCGTGATAGGAGAACAGTTAATATTTAACCGGTCATGGTGTTCTGTCTAGGTTAAATGTGTTGCTGCGCCGTATCCCGGGGCTATGGAACATGAGTGCGTTGGATTGCCACTAATACTGCCGTTTTGGGACGGAATGTGCCATAAGTTTGCAAAGATGAGAGGTTTGGGGTGTTAAGCTGCGAGGTGGTCGTGAGGGGCGTCTGGCATCAGTTGGACAAGAAACTAAAGGCCGGCACGTTATCCACCAAGGCAGCCCACCAATAGCTCTTTACGCATTCGTCCAGGTGTCTTATCTCCGAAAACCCCGCCACTAGGCCAATGCATCTACACGTAATGCTTCGGTGGATTTGATGTCTTAAGACCAGAGAAGCTCACTTAGAAAAGGCCTCCTGTCTTTTTGTTTCGTTGCCGGGACTGGGTATTATGCGCACGGCATTGGGACGAATCTCGCGTCTGACCTCTCACTTTCCTCTCATCAATTCACCCCGCTTTTTCCACGCCTCGTCAGCCAACATGGCGGCTCTGACCATCGAATCTCAGTACTTGATGCCATCGGGCTACAAGATCCCCGTACTCGGCTACGGTGTATATCAAACGCCTGCAGAAATTGCAACAGAAGTGGTTCAGCACGCGCTCAAAGTCGGATATCGCCATGTAGACTCGGCTGTGGCATACAAGAACGAAGCACCTTCCGCCGAGGGCATGAAGAAGTCAGGAATCCCCAGAGAAGACCTCTTCTTTACCACAAAGATTCCACCAAAAGACATGTCTTACGAAACGGCAAAAAAGCACATTGACAGTACTCTTGAGAAGACGGGCTTTGACTATGTTGATCTCTACCTGTTACACAGTCCATATGGTGGCAAGGCTAACCGAATCGGCGCGTGGAAAGCGCTCGTTGAGGGTGTACAAGCCGGCAAAATCCGATCGATTGGCGTGTCTAATTACGGTGTACATCATCTTGATGAGCTCGAGACATGGATCAAGGAGACGGAAGAGAAAGAGGGTAAAGGCAAGGGTGGGGTGATCAGCGTCAACCAGGTCGAACTACATCCTTGGCTTGCGCGACCTGATATTACAGAGTGGTGCAAGAAGCGGGGGGTGTTGTGCGAAGCATATTGTCCCATTGTACGCGCTACCAAGAATGACGACCCTTTGCTCAAGTCGCTTGCGCAAAAGTACAGCAAGACGCCCTCACAAATCTTGCTACGGTGGAGCTTGCAGATGGTATGTTCTAAGCCCCCGCTAATCGCTTACATGGACTAACAACCAGGATAGGGATTTGTACCGCTACCAAAGTCTGTTACCAAGTCAAGAATCGAGGAGAATGCCCAGATTTATTCCTTTGAACTCTCCGAACAAGACATGAAGAGTCTGGATACTGGAGTATATGAGCCTTGTGCATGGGATCCTACCGTCAGTCATGATTAGTGCTAACAATATCAAAATTCTGGCCCAAATATTTAATTGATGAGCTGGTTTGATGCTTACTGAGTGTTCTCATTCGGTGCTGAAGTTTTGATGGTCTCTTGACCTGCGATGCTTTACCAACAGTAGCAGTCTCATCTGGACTCGATTTGACACGTGATTCATCTGCTCGAGCTGTGAGCATTGTTGCTAAAGGTGCCGAGGTTGCCCGACATGTTGGAATGGAACTACGAAAAAAAAACATTGGAGACTCAAGTGAGCGCGTCGCATGTGACGTTTGCGACACGTAAAAACACGGCTACGTCATCCTGACCTACAAATGAAACGCGCAAACAGTTCAATTAAGCCCTTACAAAATGCTCAACTTGCCTAGTTTTTTATACTCTTTGATACCCATTTAAGTCTTCACAGTGATACATTGAACGGAAACCTTGCTACTGCGCCTGCACATAGGTCATCATGGCACCGAACAAAAAGGTTCTCATCATCCTCTCCGACGCCAGCTCGTTCCCCCTGTACAACACGGGTAGCGATGGAAAGACAGTCTCACAAGATTCTGGTTATTTCCTCATGGAGCTCGCCAAACCACTGTCCAAGGTTCTAGACGCAGGCTATGAAGTCACGTTTGCATCGCCCGAGGGCAAAGAACCTACACCGGACCCATTGAGCGTGTCGCTCGCCGCCTTTGCAGGCAACTATTACGAGAAACAGCGCGAACTGGAGCTGATTGAAAGGATGAAGAAGGAAAATGGCTTCTCAACGCCGAGGAAGTTTTCTGAAATCAGCGACGAGGAGTTAAAGGGCTTCGCCGGTGTCTTCATTCCAGGAGGACATGCGCCCCTAAGGGATCTCGGGGACAATGCAGATCTGGGCCGTGTGCTGTCGCATTTTCACGGCGAGTCGAAGCCGACAGCAGCCATCTGCCACGGTCCATGGGCGTTCTTGTCAACCAAGTATGGACCCAAGAAGGAATTCGAGTACAAGGGGTACAAAATGACGAGCTGGTCGGATGCGGAGGAGAAGATGATGGAGACGATGTTGAGGGGTGAGATCGATAAGGTTGAGAGTAGGCTAAGGGAGGAAGGTGCTGATATGCAGGAGGGGATCGGGAAGAGTCTGGGCAACATCACTGTAGATAGGGAGCTTGTGACGGGAGATAATCCGATGGCGGCGAATGCTCTTGGGGATAAGTTTTTGGAGATGCTGGCGGCAAGATGATGGGGCATGGTGATGACAAAGAAGAACAAAGTAGAGACAAGTATTCAGGAACTTAAGCACGAACAAGGTATTGGCAATATGCTGTGGTGGCATGCACAGACAGTACTCTACTACTCACATAGCTGGATGGTGAGCAATAGGCCCAGCGCATGGCAAATCGGATGGACACGGAACAACCGAGGGGATACACAACAGCTGGCTGCACGTACCAAAAGGCTCCCAACGTCAGGTTAGGCAAAGAATGACAACGGTGAATATCGCAGCATCCAAGGTGCCAGAAATAAGGGCTTCGTCGATGGACATGTGTTGGCTGACCGCCCAGCTGCTCAGCAGCTAGCGAACCCCGCACACAGGAGGCAGAGGCTGCCACTGATAACCGTCAATTTTCCATCCGCATCTGCGCCATGACAGTCGGATCCGCGAAACACCTTGCGTAATGGTGTTAGCATATGGATGTCGACATCCGGGATAGGCCGACGACTAAGGCTCTATACGGGAATTTGGACAGCGGCAGCCGTGGGGCGATTGATATCACAGGCAGCCGGTTGCCGAGTACCAGATTGCTTAGCTGCCGTTGCTATTGCCCGTCCGGCGGCGGCCCCAGTTTGGCGGCAAGCCGCTTTTTTCTTCTCGAGTGGCAGAAAAGCATAGTTCAAACATGACGCAAGGCCAACTGGACAGCCCATCGCCGACCCGACCCGCCCCTTTATTCCTGATCCCCAGCTGCACATCGGCTGCCAGTCTCGAGAAATCCCCCCCGCAGTATGGCTGTCCCCGGATACAGGCTGGGAGTTGATGTAGGAGGGTGAGTAATGTGTCGCTCCAAATCTGCTCTGCTGGCCGCCCAAGTATCGCCCAAACCCGGCATACTTACACAGCTGCTAGTCTCGAATCACATCATGTCCGAGATGCTGCATTTGCCCCGTAGCTACGGCTGCTATCCCCTTGCCCCTCCCTTCAAGCGCCACCAAGCACGGAAAAACCACAATAGCGTGCGGCTGACTCGAGCCCAGGACCTTTACAGATGGTAGGCATTATCTCGTGTAGCCCTCGCATTCATTCTTTAACCCACTCAGTCTGTGTAATTACCCCCAACGGTGAGGCCATTCGCACAAAGGTACCCACGGACACCCAGGATCAGTCCATTGGAGTACAAAAGGGAGTGCTGCAAGTGCGCGAGATCCTCAAAGAAAAGTATAACTGGCAAGGCAAATTCCAATACATACACCATGGCACCACAACTGCCACCAATGCTGTCCTTGAAGCCAAGGGTGCCAAATGCGGCCTTGTCGTTACAAAGGGCCACAAGGACATCTTGGCTGTCAGACGGAGCCATATCCCAGGTGGACTTGGAGCTTGGATGAATTATGAACAGCCTGAGCCTCTTGTGCCTCTAGAACGGACTGTTGAAGCCAAAGAGCGCATCAAAATCGATGGCAGTGTCTACTGTGAATTGGACGAACAGCTCTTTCGGCATGATTTGCAGGACCTCAAGCAACAAGAGCCCGAGGCAATTGCTGTGTCCCTGCTGAATTCATTTACCAACAATGCCCACGAAGAGCGCATCAAGACTATCTTGCGTGAGGAATTTGGGCCACACGTTGAGATCGTCACATCAACCGACGTCTTGCCAGAGATTCAAGAATACGAGCGCACGGCCACGACAGCTACAAATGCAATGGTCAAACCGGTAGTCAAGAAATACATGCAGAACCTCCAGAACAAGCTTGCCAAAGATACCGATGTAATTCGGATCCTGAAGTCTGACGGAGACTTGACTTCCGTCCAGCTTGCAGGCGAGACACCAGTGCGCATTCTCATGAGCGGCCCAGCTGGTGGCGTCAAGGCTGTCTCGCATTTGGTAGCCAAAAACACGCCTTACAAGAACCTCATCACTTTCGACATGGGCGGTACAAGTACTGATTGCGCTCTGCTCAAAGGCAGTGACGCCATCATCCGACAGGAAACCCAAATTGGTCATTTGTCAGTGCGCGCGCCATCAGTCGACGTAAATACAGTGGGGGCCGGCGGAGGCTCGATTGCAGTATACAATGACTTTACCAGGAGTCTGCGAGTAGGACCAGAGTCCAGTGGCGCCACACCAGGACCAGCAGCTTACGGCAAAGGTGGTATGCAAGCGACTGTTACGGATGCGAACCTGGCACTAGGAAGACTGCCGTCAAAGCTGCTTGGTGGCACTTTCAAACTTGATGTCGCGGCATCCAATAAGGCAGTTGAGTCACTCGCCAAACAAATGGGCATTGAGATGACTTCAGCCG